TATAGACATACTAGTTCAATATGAAAATCATTCTTATCCAAGATACTTTTAAAGTGTTCCAAATGCTGAAATCACGGTATGATTGCAATATGCGGGTATTTGACCCGGATATGCCAGTTCTCTCATGTATGCCCTGTTTCCTGCCTAAGTCACAGAGTCAGTCTCTGTTCATTACAGTCCACAGGTAAGCAGCCCTAAGCTCAGTACAGTGAAGATTAATGTAATAAGAGAGAAAGGAATTTAATATTGTTGTGATGGTAGAAGTATGCATGACACGGCCTACAAATGCCTGATTAGTTAGATTATATTCGCCTGACACCATCATTTTTGGAATGACTTTACTGGGGGTAATGAACAAAGTAGTGAAACTAATAGAAGATTGTCTGTACCAAATGAGTTCCTGCCTCACTTTAAAGACCCTCTGTGCAGCCGGGTGCGGTGGCTCAAGCCTGTGATCCCAGCACTTTGGGAGGCCAAGGCGGGTGGATCACAAGAGATCGAGACCATCCTGGTCAACATGTTGAAACCCCGTCTCTACTAAAAATACAAAAAATTAGCTGGGCATGGTGGCGCGTGCCTGTAACCCCAGCTATTCAGGAGACTGAGGCAGGAGAATTGCCTGAACCCAGGAGGCGGAGGTTGCGGTGAGCTGAGATCATGCCATCGCACTCCAGCCTGGGTAACAAGAGCGAAACTCCGTCTCAAAAAAAAAAAATAAGACCCTCTGTGCACAACACAATTTGATTGGTTCTCTTATTGTCTACATATGAACATTGTCATATTGTCATGTGTGGACAATAAGTGTCTCAGTCCTTTTATGAAAAGGGGTGGCTGGGTGTGGTGGCTGTAATCCCTGTAATCCCAGCACTTTGGGAGTCTGAGGTGGGTGGATCAACTGAGGTCAGGAGTTCGAGATCAGCGTGGCCAACATGATGAAACCTCATAGCTACTAAAAATACAAAAATTAGCCTGGCATGGTGGTGCATGCCTATAATCCCAGATACTTGGGAGACTGAGGCAGAATTGCTTGAACCTGGGAGCCAGAGGTTGCTGTGGGCAGAGGTTGCAGTGAGCCAAGATTGTACCATTGCACTCCAACCTTGGCGACAGAGTGAGACTCTGTCTCAAAAAAAAAAAAAAAAAAAAAAAAAAGGGAGAGGGGTGGGGACATATTGGTTTTTTGCTAGTTTCCTCAACTTTCTGAAACTTGTTCACAACCTTCCATATTCCAGTTAATTTCATTTTAAAGAGACAGTAGCATGGACCTAACAACCTAGCTTTCCAGGAAAAATTTTAATACCTATGAAAATCAAATAAGTATCTCTGTTTATGCATCAATCACTTAAAGCATCCACAGAATAGAAGATATTTTCAACTGAATTGTTGAAATATAGTTAGAATATTATAGAATAAAACTGGAAGATTTTTTTACATGAAGTAGAAAAACTACACATGAATTTGAGATGAAAAATATGTCTGGTTGTTTATGTTATAGACATACTAGTTCAATATGAAAATCATTCTTATCCAAGATACTTTTAAAGCGTTCCAAATGGTGAAATCACGTATGATTGCAATATGCAGGTATTTGACCATATTGAAGTAGAAATCCAGCAGGAGGCAAACAACAGCCCAATCCAGAATCAACATAAGTTTCTACTGCATTTAAAAACTTTTAGTGACGCATAATTGACATGCAATAAACTATGTGTATTAGTCCATTTTCACATTGCTATAAATTTTGATAAAATCGAATTTATCTTTTTTTTTTATAGTTTGTGCTTTGGGTATCATATATAAGAAATCTTCTCCTAACACTGGGTTGTAAACCTTTTCTTTCCTTTTCTTATGTGAGTTTTGTATTTTTAAGTTCTACATTTATTTCTCTTATCCATCATGAGTAAATTTTTGTATGTGATACGAGGTATGGATCAAAGTTCATATTTTTCCCCCATGTATGGATAGCCAGTTGTTCCAATACCATTTGTTGGCTAGATTATCCTTTCTCTAACAAGTGACCTTTACACCTCTGTCAAAAATCAGTTGTCTAGGTATGTGTAGTTCTACTTCTGGGCAGACTATTCTTTTTCTCTGATAAATGTATGTATCTTGACACTAATTAAACACTTGCTTGTTCACAGTAGTCTTTTAAGAAGTTTTAATCAGGCAGTTTTAGACTATCAATTTTGTTATTCTTTTTCAAAATAGTTTTTGGCTATTCCATTTTTTTCACATGAATTGTAGAATCATCTTGTGAATGTCTACAGAAACACTGCTAGAATTTTTATTGAAGTGGAATCAAGTCAGTAGATCCATCTGGGGAGAATTGATAATAATACTGAGTGTTTCAGCTCATGAACAAGACATGTCTCTCTCCATTTATTTAAGTCTTCTTTAATTTCTCTCAGCAATGTTCTGTAGTTCTTAGTGTATGTATTTGCACATCTTTTGTCAGTTTTCTAGTTTTCTTCAAAAGTGTTTCATATTTCTGTTATAATTGTTAAATGATTTCGCTTTTTTTTTTTTTTAATTCAAGAGGTTTTACTCCATTACTCAGGCTGGAGTGCAGAAGAGGCACAATCCTAATTCACTGCAGCCTCAAACTTCTGGGCTCAAGCAATCTTCCTGACTCAGCCTCTTAAGTAGCTGGAATTACAAGTGCAAGCTACTGTGCCTGGCTGCTTTCTAAATTTTTACTTCCAAATGTTTGTTCCTAGTATATGAAAGTCCAATTCCATTTACATATTGACCTTTTATCCTGCAGCCTTGCTACATTTATATGTTATTTCTAGTTTCTTTTTATAAATTCCATTAGATTTTCTGCATAGACAATTGGGTCATTCATTTGAGAAAATAGACAACATGTTACTCCTTCATCTAGCTTTTTTTCAATCAAGAAAGAAAGGCTAGGTGCCTCTCTAGCTTTTTTGATTAGTGTTAGCCTGGTATACTGTTTTTCATCTGTTTACTTTTAACCTATTTTAGTTTTTATATTCAGAGTGTATTTATTATAGATGGCATATGCCTTTTTTAATCCAATCTAGAAATATCTTTTTTAGGCCATTTACATTTAATGTGATTATTCATATAGTTAGGTATAAGTCTATTATCCTACAATTTACTTCCTATTTTTTCCACCTCTTCTTTGTTCCACTTTACTTCATCATCTGTCTTCTTTGGATGAAGAATTTTTTTATGAATCCTATTTATCTCCTTTGTTGGCACATTGCTATAACTCTTTGTTATTATTTTAGTCTTTGCTTTAGAATTTTTCATGCATATTTTTAACTTATTATAGTCTATCTTCAAGCAGTAGTATACAACTCTATGTATAATATAAGAGCACTAAAAGAAGTACACTTTCATTTCTTCCCTTCTGGCCTTTATGTGATTATTGTCATATATTGTATTTATATAATATGTTATAAATGCTATAATACATTATTTTTATTTGTCTTTTTGAGACAGGGTCTCACTCTGTCACTAGGCTGGAGTGCAGTGCTGTGATCCATCACAGCTCACTGCAACCTCTACCTCCCAGGTTCAAGCGATTCTCATGCCTCAGCCTCCCAAGTAGCTGGGGTTATAGGCACACCCAACCACACCTGGCTAATTTTTATATTTTTAGTAGAGACAGCGTTTTGCCATGTTGACCAGGCTGGTCTCAAACTCCTGGCCTCAAGTGATCTGCCTGCCTCGACCTCCCAAAGTGCTGGGATTACAGGCTTGAGCCAATGCATCTGGCTTGTTTTTATTTTTATTTAAATAGTCAGTTATCTTTTAAAGTAATTCAAATAATAAGAAAAAGTCTTCTATATTTACTTGTTACCACCTCTGCTGCTCTACATCCCTCTGTACAGATGCACATTTTTACGTCATATCATTTCTTTTCGACTTGAAGGATTTTCTTTAACATTCCTTTTTATGTTAATCTACTATTGACAAATTCTTTTGGTTTTCATATATATGAATATATATATATATATTGCTTTATTTCTAGAAAAATCATTTTGTTGAGTATTGAATTCTAGGTTTATAGGGTTTTTTCTTTCAATGCTTTAAAGACATTATTTTATTGTAATTTTTTTCCAAAGAGAAATGTACTTTTGTCTTTGTTTCTCTGTATATAATGTTTTTTTATCTTGCTACTTTCATGATTTATTTTTTGTCACTGATTTTGAGCAATTCAATTATGGTGCTTCTTGATGTGATTTGCTTCATTTTTCTTGTGTTTGAGATTTATTGGGATTCTTGGATCTGTTGGTTTATAATTTTTACCAAATTTGGAAATAGTAGGCTATTGTTTTTTCAATTATTTTTTTCCCCCTATTCCTTTGGGGATTTCAGTTATACATGTATCAGGCCAAATGAAGTTATCCCACATCTCACGATGATCTTTGTATTTTTTTAAAAATTTTCCCTGTTTTTCTTTATAAATAGTTTCTGTTGCTATGTCTTCAAGTTTATTAAACTTTTATTTTGCAACATATAATCTCCTATTAATCCCATCCAGTGTATTTTCAATCTCTACTATTACAGTTTTCGTCTTTAGAAGTTTGAGTCTTTTAATATTTTCCATGTCTCAACTTTCTGAATAAATAGAATATAATTATAATAACTGTTCAATGTAGTGCTCTGCTAATTTTATCATTTCTGTTAGTTCTTATTTCAGTTTGGTTGATTGCTTTGTCTCTTTACTACGGTTCATCCTTTCCTGGGTTTTTGTTTTGTTTTGGTTTTTGTTTTTTTGGGGTTTTTGTTGGTTTGTTTTTGGTTTTTTTGTTTTAGCATGCCTGGACATCTGTGTTTGGATGCCAGATATTGTGAATTTTACCCTGTTGCGTACTGGATATTTTTTGTAACCCTTAAATATTCTTGAGTTTTGTTCTCAGGAGCAGTTACATTAGATGAAAATGTTTTGATCCTTCGAGGTTTCTCATCCATTTGATTAATTCTTTTCCTGCCATTGAGTAGTTTCCTTACATGCATTCTTTGATCAGATTCAGCTGAATACCAGAGGAAGGCTTTCTGAAGATTGCTGCAGCTCTCCCTCATCTCACAGATTCTGTCCTGAGAACTCCAGCTGCCTTGATCTCTTCAGAGTCGGTTTCATCTTCTCAATTCTGAAGTTTGTCGGGCTCCGCCTGAGTTTCCCCTTCCTGCAATGCAACCTAGAAACTCTCTCAAAGCAGTAAGCTGGGGCAATCATAAGGTTCACTTTGTTTTCCATCTTCCAGAGATCATTGTTCTTTCCCGGTGTTTGGTGTCTTGAAAGCCATGGTTTCAGATATTTTGTCTGGTTTGTTCTGGTTCAGTCTGGGTTTTGGCATTGGTTTTAGCTGTTTCAGGTAAGAGCATAAATTAAGTGCCTTTACTCCACTTTGGCCAGAAACAGAGGTCCTCAGTTTAATTTGTAACCTGTAATAAAACTAGTCAACATTTTCCTTTTGAAAGATTTTATATATTTATCTGTCTCAGCATTTTAAACAGTAATTTAAAGCTTAATGGTACAAATATCACGCAGGGGAAATAAAGACCCTTGGTTCCAAAGAAAAACACAAAAGCTCAGAGGTTAAATGATTTAGTGTTTGTCTGTGACCCTAATGCAAACCACTGCAAAAAAAATTGTACATGACCATGCAGGGGTCTCTTTCCTTAGTTAAAGATGACTGTACCCTAAAGTGTAAAATAATTGAGTTTAATGAAGACACAATAAATAGGAATAACTTTTTTTTTTTTTTTTTGGAGATGGAGTCTCACTCTGTCACCCGGGCTGCAGTGCAGTGGCATGATCTTGGCTCACTGCAACCTCTGCCTCCCGGGTTCAAGCAATTCTACTGCCTGAGCCTCCCAAGTAGCTGGGACTACAAGCACCTGCCACCACGCTCAGCTAATTTTTTGTATTTTTGGTAGAGACGGGGTTTCACCATGTTGCCCAGGCTGGTCTCAAACTCCTGAGCTCAGGCAATCCACCCATCTCGGCCTCCCAAAGTGCTAGGATTACAGGCATGAGCCACCGGCCTGGCCAGGAATAACTTCATAAATTTGGAGTGAATGTATACAACAAATCAAAGTAAAGGTATGAATTCCATAAAGCATTGGTTTAATTGATGATACTTACTGCAGTTGATAAAAACATAGCCTATAAAACCATTTGTTAAATATTATTTATTATCTGAAGTCTTCTTCACACAATTTATAAAGTACATTGAAAAAATATTACAGTCAAATTTTGGCAAATTGAGAGTGCTCTTAATTTTAAGAATTTATATTGCTAATTTGATGCTACCATTTCATATGTAAATGAAGACCCGACATTATAGAATACAACCATGCATAACTCTTGAATAGAACTTTGTCCCGACCTAATGAAAGATGTCTAATAATGATAGAAAGTGCCATAAAGGTAATCTCCAAATGCACAATCACACATTCAGCAATAAGGTATCGCATATCCATGTAAAATAAAATATTCGCATAAGATAAATATCAGAGACACAAAAGAAATTTAAGGGTAGATCCAGGTTTGCTGGAACCTAAAACGTGCCCAGTTTGAAAGTTCTCCTTAAGGAACACAATCCCAAATGTCGAATATGTAACTCTGACAAAAGGAAAGTCAACACAGTATTCTTGAAAGGCATTCCAGTCCTGGAAGACTGAGTCGTCCACAAACAAGAGCAACTATATCTACATAAATGCATCATACCCAGTGCAAACAAATCGTAGCTCCAACTCAAGTCTCCCTGAGATGAAAGGTATGAAACATGTCTGTGGCCACACCAGTGCCACCTGACGGATGCAAGGGAAACTGTGCAGGAAGGCAAATGGGAATGGGAAGACATTCAATATTAATCTATTGCAGTTAATATAGCTCACTATTGCAGTTGTTACAGAACCATATGCCGCGTGCATATAGTGTCAGGTCCTGCAGTACCTGAGATAATGCTTCATCAGCTTTCTCCTGATCCCACCTATGTGAAAAGTAAGGGAGGGAACCTGGTGGAAGTTAAGACTGGTACAACTTAAAATCATCATCTCTCTTCAAACAAGTAACTTTATTATTTATTTAATTTTATTTTTTGAGACGGAGTCTTGCTCTGTTCTCCAGGCTGGAGTGCAGTGGTGCGATCTCAGCTCACTGCAACCTCTGCTTCCCGGTTCAAGTGATGTTCCCCCCTCAGCCTCCCAAGTAGCTGGGACTATAGGTTCATGCTACCATACCCAGTTAATGTTTGTATTTTTAGTAGAGATGGGGTTTCACCATGTTGGCCAAGATGGTCTCGATCTCTTGACCTCGTCATCCACTCACCTCAGCCTCCCAAAGTGCTGGGATTACAGGTGTGAGCCACCAAACCCAGCCTATTATTTATTTATTAATTTTAATTGTTTTTTTTTGTTTGTTTGTTTTTGAGACAGGGTCTTGCTCTATCACCCAGGCTAGAGTGCAGTGGCACAATCTCAGCTCATTGCAACCTCCACCTCCCAGGCTCAAGCGACCTTCCTGCCTCAGCCTCCCAAGTAGCTGGGACTACAGGTGCATGCCACTGTGCCTGGCTGATTTTTGTAATTTTTGGTAGAGATGGGGTTTCACTATGTTGCCCAGGCTGGTCTCAAACTCCTGACTTCAAGTGATCTACCTACCTGAGTGTCTCAAAGTTCTGGGATTACAGGCGTGAGCCACCACACCTGGCCCTACTTATTTATTTATTTTTGAGACAGGGTTTTACTATGTCACCCAGGCTGGAGTGCAGTGGCATGTTCATAGCTCATTACAGCCTTCCCATTCTGGGCTCAAGAGGTTCTCCTGCCTCAGTCTCCCAAGAAGCTGTTACACCATGCCCAGCCAATTTTTAAATTTTTTGTAGAGTCAGGGTCTCATTATATTGTCCAGGCTGGCCTTCAACTCCTGGGTTCAAGTGATCCTTCCACTTTGGCCTCCCAAAATGCTGGGGTTATAGGTGTGAACCACTGGGCCAGGTGTAAACAGGTAACTTAAAAATAACCTGTAACATTGGGCACTCATGGGGATCTTGCCTTTAATACACCCCTAAACATGAAAAGTTCAAAGGCCATTGGGTACATGTCTACCTGTAGGTTTTATTTAACCAGGAACAGAAAAAGGAAGGTGAAAGGAAACAAGTGGGTGGGAATGGGGAGACGGACTAGCGTGTGTCATCTAGATATGCGGTCCTGCTAGCACAGAGGTTTACAAAGTGCCCCAGGATCCCAGGTCTACCCGGCCCTCTTAGCTCCATCCACTGACTCAGTCCCTGACCACCTAAGCAGTTGCTATGGAGACCACCTAAGGTTCACATGGACAGGTGCCCTTGACTAAACCTCCTGGGAAGCCCAGACAAAAGGTAGCAACCCTATCCCGTACTTGGATTAATAGCTGGGCTTGGAACATTCTTTCCATCCTCAGCTATTCTGTTCTTGTCTAAATCAATTTGTTATACCATTGTGTTACAGAATGTATTCATACAGCAATTTCTGCCAACTTCTTGCCCTTCCATACGCAGTAACAAACAGACAGAAGTCCATCCACCATGAACTCAGCCTAAGGAGCATTGCATTCTCTAGTCACAAGTCTTCTTTTTTTCTTTTCGCACACTGCAATGGGTTTGTAAAGAGACACTAAGTTAAAAACAAATATGTTCTTGTGCACACACACACACATACACACACAGACACACAGACATATACACATACACACATACACAAACAGGCACACACATACAGACATATACACACACACATATACACATACACACACACACAGGCACACACAGACCCACACAGACCTATAAACATACACACACATACACACTCATATACACATACACACACAGGCACATACATACACACACATGCAGAAATTCTGTAGTGTCCCAAATTTCTACATAGTAAATGCTACAGAGAAAAATCCATGTCAAATATAAATAATTTCCTCTGGAGATATTGGAAATCCCAGGACATTCTCCAAGATCATGTCTCTTGGTGTCTTTCCCACAGAGAAATATTAAACTAATGGAGTGGATTACACCTTCAGTGAAAAGTGAAACTGAACACCAAGGCAGCCCCTGGAGGATTAGGTTTTGATTTCTGACACCACCTGTTAGTGTAAGAATCGTAACCCTGAGAGCACAAAATGGCTCAGAGGCAGGACTGCTAGTAAAGTTCACAAGTGACCCTGTCATTTTTACATTTCAGTCATTTTGTTAGGATGACAGGGCAAAAGGACTGTAGTAAAAGGACATCCAGTGCCATGACCGTAGACTTGTTGAATCTGGGTCATAGAGTTCACCAAAGGAATGGAGCCCTGAGGCCATCTGTTTATATTTACCATTTCTCTACATTTCTGAGTCAGCAAGAAGCAGGCAATTGCATCATCTGCCCTCCAAATAACCACTATCACTCCAAGCACACACTTCATCCCAAAAATGTTTCATATTTTTCCCTTTGCGTAAAGAATCTTTGAACTAACAAGAAGAAGCATTGCATATTATTTAATATTCAGATAGTAGCTTGTAATGCATTTAATTAGTCAATTCTCCATCAGGCTACTTATTTGACATCTTGTTGAAACGAGAAGTGGCTTTACAAGGTGAAGAGGAAAGAGGATGGCTTTCAGATTCAGACGACTGTAGTTCCCAATGCTGAATCCTCAGTTTGAAGGTTCTGTAATTTTGGAAAAGCTTCTTATTCTTCCTAAGTGTCAGTTACTTCTTCTCTAAATGGAAATAAGAACATCTCTGTTGGAGGTTTGTTGGGAGGATTAAATAAATACTATCCATATATCTGACAGATAATAAGTAGACAATAGATATGTCCATGTTGTAGTTCCTATGCCCGGTTTTTTGTTTTGATTGTCTGTTTGTTTTGAGATGGAGTCTCACTCTGTTGCCCAGGCTGGAGTACGGTGGCATGATCTTGGCTCACTGCAACCTCTGCCTCCCGGGTTCAAACGATTCTTCTGCATCAGCCTCCTGAGTAGCTGGGACTACAGGTGCCCCCCAACCATGCCCAGCTAATTTTTGTATTTTTAATATAGACAAGCTTTCACTGTATTGGCCAGGCTGGTGTCAAACTCCTGACCTTGTGATCCACCTGCCTTAGCCTCCCAAAGTGCTGGCATTACAGGCGTGAACTATTGCGCCTGGCCTAGTTTGTGTGTGTGTGTGTGTGTGTGTG